CTGTCAAAGTTCGCAAAGAAATATCTGGTTTGGCAAGCCATCTGTACCTGTGGCTTGAAAAGCAGCATTTTCATAGCTTCCGGGACTGTCAACCAAGAAATTTACGTGAAAGAGTGTTTGAATAAACGTCTGCTGCCTTTCCTGAAGAAACACGGTTGTTCCGTACTGTTTTGGCCGGATTTGGCATCTTGCCATTACGGTAAAAAGGCCATGGAGTGGTACGCCGCCAATAACGTGCAGGTGGTTCCCAAGGACAAGAACCCTCCCAACACGCCAGAGCTCCGCCCAATTGAGAAATACTGGGCTATTGTCAAGCGGAACCTAAAGAAGACCAAAAAAACTGCTAAGGGCGAGCAGCAGTTCAAGGCAAACTGGCTTTCTGCGGCGAAGAAGGTGGACAAGGTGGCTGTACAAAATCTGATGGCAGGAGTCAAGTGTAAGGCCCGGCAATTCGGATTTGGAAAAGCGGAAGCCTAACTGAATAATTTTCCTGAATTTTATACTAATTGAACTTGAAAAAGAAATTTAATTTGATTTTTTAAATAAACGATTTCACAGATTTACACGCGTTTTCCCTTGACCAAATTTTGACCGTATCACCCTTTAGGAGTTGGGCCAAATACTCGCGGCTTACCCAAGGTTTGAGGGGTACATTGTCGAAGGATAGGAAAAAGGGAGCAGCTTGGGAGTAGGGTTTCGTTGTCTCATGAGAGCGATGTCCCAAGTATGAACGGTAGTGTGGTTCTAGATTCGTCTGGTATTCGACCGGCTATGGTGACCAGTGGGCGACGATGAGACTCATCGAGACGGGGGACAATAATTCAGGTAATTAGTTCTCTGCTCAAACAAAAGCTAACATCTGAACTAACTTTAATTCGATACCCTCACAGGAGCTTTTGTGTTACCGTTTTGGTGGACACCGCCAATTTTGTCCATTGACAAGATCAACCGACGCTCACGTGATCCACCTTAGCAGTCCCTAGGGGCCGCTTGATCTAAAAGTGAAGGAACTGGCCTTCCTCATGTCAGACTAAAAATAATCGGCTGCAAGAAAATTGTCTCGGAAACCCTCCCTATCTGGCATGGAGACGTTCCCCTCTCGTTAGAGTCATACCGACCTTGCCTGGGCTCTGCCGATGTAAGCCTATGAGGGAAGACGCCTGGGAGGAGCTATAGTGGTTTCACGCGCCAACGAAACCGCTTCCTCACATCGCCACTCAGCCAACTTTGACCACAATCACCACACCGAATCTGGAAAAACGTAGGCGCAGTGATTCCACCGTACACAGCAAAAAAAAATTATAATGTCACATCAAAGTGGATGCACTTCCATCGTGTCGAAAATATGGTGTAATATTTCTTGCCAAAAAGGACAAAATTATCCTTAATACAGTGCCCGAACTGACATTACGCAGCATTTACTGCATTTGTTTATTTGTATGGCCATAAAAATTACATGAGATTTTCGACATGGTTGAAGTGCATCCTCTTGGATGTAATATTAAAATTTATGATTTGCTGTGTACAACAGCGAGCGCTCGCCCATCGTCGTCGAAGCCGTTCATCTTCAGCATCAGCCATCATCATCCGCGGTACCGCTACGTTTATCTAGAATAAACCACCCATTTTACACCTACAACTACAATAGTAGTAAGTTCAATAAACCAACCCTCCCAAACAATAGTTTTCCTTAATAAAAGCTTTTCATCTTGAACCACGCTTGCATTGATTCCATAACTCTAATCAGGTGACAGTATTCTGCACGTTTGGTCGCGTGGCCCCTCCGATTGCCCAGTAGTAAACCGACCTTGAGACCCAGCTCGAGAGGTCTCCGGGAACAGACAGTAGAGCTACAAAACCTCGAAGAAAAGGATAACCGAACGTATATGGAGTTCTTGCTTCCGAGGCTCCGATGGAAGCTGATGAAGGTGTTAGCTGCGTTCATGATGACCGGAGATCCGTTGATTTGTTGAGGTAAAAGTTTGTCCAATCCATCTGCTGGATAAATGTCAGTTGCCAGTTTGGGGTGTGGATGAAAATTGCGTCAAGTCTTCCGTTGTTTTTCTTCAACTTCCTCACTCCATTTAAAATATTGAAAATTGTTGACATTTTAAAGCCCATGATCCATGTTTGAACCGTATTCAAGGGTATTCTTCGGAATATTCCAAGAGAATTCTGAGGAGGATTTTATCGAATTTATGGTGTTTTTAATAAAAATGTAAACATCGTGAAATTTTCAAAAAATCATAACTTTTTTGTTTTTGAGTTTACCATCACCAAACTTTGCCAGTTTGTAGCAAACAATATGAGCTTCAATAAGGTATAAAACGAAAAATGTACTTTTTGAGAAATTAACTTTTTTAATAACAAATATAATTTTTTTCATTGAAACAAACGAAATTTTTTACAGTGTATATTTTTAAAATTATTGCTAAAATTATATCTTTAACTTTGCTCAAGAAACCAAATCAATCCAACAAACCGTTTCAGCAATATATATTTTTAAACTCATTAGTACTATTTTTACACAGGCCCTGTTAGAAAAGTAGTCGTGATTCAATTTGAAGAACTGATAACACAAATTGGCATCTTTACTGAAAAAGAACAACTGTGCAAATTTTCATCAAAATCGGAGCCGACAAATTAAAAAAAAAAATTAAAAAATTCGTCAATCTGTAGAGAATTGCTCAATTGCGAGAATAATTTCATTTCGGGAGAATACTATCCGATTGTTGTGGAGAATTTCAAGAGAATTTTCAGATGAATTCTTTGTGGTATTCCTAGGTTATACTGCGAAAATGATGGCAAAGATAATGTCTTCTGTATTATAAAACAAATTAGAACAAAATACCAGATTTAAGATTTTTTAGATAATCCTACGATAGCATTTTTCTTTTTTATCAAGATACTTCGTTTAGGAGGCTCATTTGTGTTAGCTCTACGATTCATCGCTCATCGTTTGTAACAAAATTTACTTAATTATATGTCTAGTAAGTGTTGGGCCGAATATTCGCGGCTTTCCCGAGGTTAAAAGGGTATATTGTCGTAGGATAGGATCAGGGGAGGAGTTTGGAGATGGGGTTTCGTTATCTCATTTGAGCATTGTCGTAGCATCTTTCTACTGAAAAAGCCTTAATTTACCATGTAAATGATTTGACTCAATGGCTGAAATAAAAGGTAAAAACAGTATTAATATATCACTATTGAAACCACGTTTTCAAAGATAATTAATAAAACACCATCATAACCCAAAAGATGCAGAGGCTGAATATTAAGGCAACGGCATCCCACACCATTCAGTAGATCAAGAGATGACTTTATTTATTTAGGGAATCAAACCCTCACTCCAAGCAACACACAAAAAGTCCATACGACGAATAACGACATCAGCCCACAAATACAATTCATTACATTTTTTCCCTCTAGCAGCAATTTTCAAAACCACTAAACCAAGGCACCTCAGCTAAGACTTCAACTAGTTCTTCTGTAGCGCATGCATCCCCTCTCAGAAAACAATGTGAGTTCTCTGCTGTCAGTTCACGTTTCCCCTCCTGATCAAAGCAAACTTCTTCGATGCTGTCTCTATCCGAGACAGCTTGCTGCCTGTAGTTCGAAAAAGCACCACAGTGGCGCTGATGAAAAACTGACAGCCCCAACAACAACGGTTAGCTATGCGTGCATGAATCATGCCAGAGAAACCACCGTAAAGCAAACCATCATTCACTGCTCCACATGTTGGAATGGTGTCGATGGCATGCATTTTTCACCCCACGGTGTATCCTTTCACTCAAATGTACCTACCAATACCTAAAAGGTAGTCAGTCGCACATCCCACGGTGCGATTGAAGCAGAAGGGTGGAAAACGATGCGATGTGGGGGTGAACCTGGGAAGAATAATGTGTACCGTTTTGCACAGGAAAGGTCTTGCAGGGCCGTCTATAAATTTTTATTAGTTGTTGTTGCATCTACATACATGGACCCTCCTTCATGGGAATACATATTTTATTACGCTGTAAACGACGCAGGTTCAATTCAATTTTTTTTTTTGGTTTTTGGTTTTTGGGCAATAGAATCCGAGGAGATGTTAAACGAAAGCTGACTCGGAGATAAGTATGTTTGGTTCGACTGCGTGCATCTTTGATTTGTTTGGTTTTGGTTTCCGATTAATGTTTTGGGCAAACATGAAAATAACAATAAAGTGTTCATTGTTAACCTCTCATAACATACACTCAATTCTGTTTCTACGCGATTTTTTTCGCCTTTATTTTTGATCGTATGATCCCAAATCGCATTCAAATTTAAGACAATTTGTTTTTAAAGAAATAATAAAAGATCAAAAAATGATACCGTACTATTAAAAATAGTGCACCAATCCTACACATGGTTAAATTGAGGAAATGAAAATCACGTTAAAATAGAATTGAGTGTACAATGAGTTCTGGAAGTTGGAACTGATGAACATTACTTATTGGATATTTGTGTATTCCCAAGAAAGGTTTCACGTTTTATCGAGGTTTTAAAGCGTTCTAAAAGTCGGAATCATGAGATACTTAGGATATTTGTGTGATTTTATAATCCAGCTTCTACTACTGGGCTATTGCAGCTCGAAGAGCTAGCACCATTTAACTCCCGAATACAAGTTTCTTGCAGTTATTAGTAATAGCAAGCATTATCCACAATGGTACTGCCAGATAGTGAGAGGTAAAATCTATAACCTAGATATACCAGTTATGGCTATACGTTCCTATTATGTTGTGTTCCAATTATGCCATATGGCAATTCCATAGGCCATAACTGAAGCACCTACCCTAGATGAAGAAATTGAGATGTTAAACAGTTATATGTATACACTTAAAATCATCGTTGAAACTGATAAATGAACAGAAATTTTCATACAAACATCACTAGTTAAATAGATAATAACAAAACATTTTATTCAGTCCAAAACATTACATAACAATTCACCACCAGTGCTTGTCCTCGTGCTTCTTGACGGCGACGGTGACTGGAACGTGCTTCTCAACATGAACTGCGTACGGTTTCGGCACTTCGACGTATTCCTTGTGGACAACTGGGACCTTCACTTCCACTGGGTATGGGACTGGACGGTCAACGTGGACCTTCTTCTCGACATGGACTGGGTATGGAACCTTCACTTCCACTGGGTACGGAACCGGACGGTCAACATGGACAGGAACCTTCTTCTCAACATGGACTGGGTATGGGACCTTCACTTCCACTGGGTATGGGACTGGACGGTCAACGTGAACCTTCTTCTCGACATGAACTGGATATGGGACCTTCACTTCCACTGGGACGTGCTTCTCTACCTCGACTGGGTATGGGACTGGACGGTCAACGTGGACCTTCTTCTCGACATGGACTGGGTATGGGACCTTCACTTCCACTGGGTACGGCACTGGACGGTCAACGTGGATCTTCTTCTCAACATGTACTGGATATGGAACCTTAACTTCAACTGGGTATGGAACTGGAACCTTCTTCTCTACTTCAACTGGGTATGGGACTGGACGGTCAACGTGAACCTTCTTTTCAACATAGACTGGACGGTCAACGTGGACCTTCTTCTCGACATGGACTGGGTATGGGACCTTCACTTCCACTGGGTATGGAACTGGACGGTCAACGTGAACCTTCTTCTCTACATAGACTGGATATGGAACTGGACGGTCAACGTGGACCTTCTTCTCGACATGGACTGGGTATGGGACCTTCACTTCCACTGGGTATGGGACCTTCACTTCCACTGGATATGGGACTGGACGATCAACGTGGACCTTCTTCTCGACATGAACTGGGTATGGGACCTTCACTTCCACTGGGTATGGGACTGGACGGTCAACGTGGACCTTCTTCTCGACATGAACTGGGTATGGGACCTTCACTTCCACTGGGTATGGGACTGGACGATCAACGTGGACCTTCTTCTCAACATGTACTGGGTATGGAACTGGACGGTCAACGTGAACCTTCTTCTCAACATGTACTGGGTATGGGACCTTCACTTCAACTGGGTATGGAACTGGAACCTTCTTGGTGATGGTGGTGGTCAAGTGCTTCACTTCATGCTGATGGTGGTGGTCGTGGTCATCGAAGCCAAGGGAATTCTGTCCGTATCCCAAATCCCACAGGCCACGTTTTTCCTTTTTGCTGGAATCGTCAACTGCCGCGCATGACGCAATGGCCAAAGCCATGGACAACACAACGAACACCTGAAAAAGGAAAATCGGATGCGAATTAGAGCGAATTGAAAACTAATTGATAATTTATAACTTTTTACCTTCATATTGGATGCTACCGTCGATGGTGTTTCGCACCAGTGGTTTTTGGACTGAACTGCGCTAGTGAGATGATCACAAGCGAATGATGTCTTCAATGTAACTCTTTGACGCTTTTATACAACTAAATCGTTTTAGTTTCAATGCACTTGAACTTCGTCTTTTTGATTTTTCCCATAGCATTGTCTTATTGTCTTGGAAAGCGACTTCGAATGTGAGAAAAGGAAACTAGATACATAGTTGATCAATTCAATTTATATGTCATTCGTAAGTCTATCGTAAGTCTAGCAGTGTCATAATGGATTAAATTTGCCTTTGCTTGGAAAAGCAAGAAGGATAGGAAAAGGATGAAATTGGATGGGTGAACTGGGAAATGTTTTTACAAATGTTCATACATCACTAATTAAAATCAATTGATCATGCACCTTTATTGCGAAATACCTACGAATGGCCAATTATTTGAACGAAATGATGGAACCCAAAATAATAATATTTAAATCTATGATTAGGATTGTGCTTCCGGTAGTATCCGTACGAGTATCCAGAATTATACCATATTAAGGCTGACTAAAAGAAAATTGGTACGCACAAAAATACCTGTAATACGTGCTTCAATAAGTTTAAAATGTCCAAAAAGCTGCTTTACAGAACTTTTATTAAAACTTCAAAGTTACATCATTAGATGGTAACATAAAGCAGCGCCGGTGGTGTAGTGGTAAGCGTGATTGCCTCTCACTCCAGCAGGCCTGAGTTCAATCCCAGTCGGCGCCGTCGAGATGTTCTGAGGCATAAACATCTCTGATCACGCCTTCCTTCGGAAGGGAAGTAAACCCGTTGGTCCCCGGTTCATGAGTTTGATGGGTCGATAGGTAGGGTCCAGGTGTGGGAGCTGCCTTCCTGCCGTCGGTAGCATTGGTGCTCAGCACGGAAAACAAGATCGACGGAAAATAAATCAAGGAAAAAAAATGGTTACATTTCTCCAGTTCAAACGAAATCTCGAACCTTCCTCTTGATGGAGCCCATCAGCGCCCGCACAGTGGAAACGGACACGAAATCAGCGCATTTCTTTCATTTTGCCCGCATTTGCTGGATGTCCTTGACTGCCCCACCGCTTCGTCAAAGTCGCTGCTTTGAAATTACACAGTATGTTTCGATTGGTCGAAATTCCGGTAAATTCGGAGGATTTATTAGCTTGTGGACAAAATCGATCTTGTTGGCAGCATACCACTCCAGAACCACCTTGGAGTAGTGGCAGATTGCCAAATCGGGCCAAAAGATGACTTTGCCCCAATGCTTGCGGTTGAATGGCAACATACGCTTTTTTCAGGCATTCTTCGCGAACTTGTCGGCAAACACGAACTTGAATCTTCCCGGCACATCCTACGTCCAGTCGCGATTTAAAACTGTTGACCGGGAAGCTACTGAAAATCGAGTTTGACGTATTTTTCGTCATCGATCAAAGTGCAGCCCTTGTGTTTCGTCAAAACACGGTTGTACAAGAGCCTTGCACGCATTTTGGTCACGGAATTCTGCTTCATGTGCCGGTTCGTATGTTTACTGCCTTTGTACGACTTCCGCACCCTTTTAAAATTGGCGTTGTACCTTCTGGCCACACCTCGGATCGAAAGACCGGGGTTGGCTTTAACGCACCTCAACAGCTTGCTGCGCAGCTGACGATCCCTGGTTCCAGTTTTTTCGTAGGTCCGCTGATTTCTTTCCACACTTAGAGTTTCCTTGTAGGTTTCGAGCAGTCGATAAACTGTTGTTTTCGGCATCTTCAGCACTTTAGCCAACTTGGAACCGGACCACTCCGGATTTTCCAGGTGTGTGCACAATATTTTTTTCTTCTTTCGAGTTCTATTTGACGTTATTTTTCAACGCGATCGACTACTTTGATCAAACTTGCACCAGTTGATCTCTACACGCTCGTTTATTTTTACTCTAAAGTGAGTAGCTTCTACTCAGTTTGGTATTTTTATTCAAAATGTCAAAAACTGAGTAACATTGATTTAACAAACTGAGTAACATTTACTCTGTTTATCTTAAATCAATGCTTACTCACTTTAGAATAACCATCAACAAAATTACTCATCGTGCATTTGACAAAGAGTTACAAAATGTTCGTAGTCCTAGTTTTTTCTTCAAACATAAAATACCTATAGATATAATAATTTAAAATTGTAGAATCAACATCGACGAGCATTGCAGCATCTTCAGAAACCAACTATATCGAAATCAAACAGGAACCATTGCAGAACAAAGAGAATGTGTGGATTTTGCAGCAGAAGGAAATTTTGGACCTGGCGAAAGAGGAACATTAGGCAAGATGCCAATTAACTATTGTGTTGGGTCGGGAGCCGTTCGAATGATCTCAATATCTGGAGTAATTCAATCGCTAGCATTACTTTGCACCTCATATCAACAAGTAAGAAGGTAGGTTTCTTTAAACTGATTATGTGATCGATGATATGTAGAAATTTCGAATTAACATTCATTTCAGGAGTACGAAAAATTCCCTGTCGGCAAGAGGACTGACATACCAATGTTCTCCATATGAGAAGTCTTCAAAATTAATGGTAACTTTGCAATGTAACGAGATGTAACCTTATTGTTATTATTTTATCTTTTAATAAATATGTTGTTTACTTTTCTCACATTCTATAAATGTCAATTCAAATTAATCATTTTATATACCGATATATTTTACAAGAACTGAGTAACATTCACTCAGTTTTGCTAATTTCCCGAAAACCGGAACTGAGTAGAAGTTACTCTGAATTTGACAAATGCATCCATTACTCAAAAGTGAGTAACTTGGGTTTACTCTCTTTAGAGTAGTTCCACTTTTACCGAAAGTGAGTGGATTTCTACTCACTTTAGAGCAAACCACTGTCAAAGACTTTCGATTCCCAACACTAGGGGCGTGCTAGTGGCGCACGAGGGGAGTGCCAATTTACTTTTAGTCAGGTCTTTGGGTCCGTGGTGTTACAAGGTGGGTCTTTAGGCCCGTGAAATTTTGAAAAATGTGTCAATGTTGTGAGATCCCGAAAATTTAGTTCGCCATAATGAGCATTCGGCCTAATGGCCACATTCATACCTTCTGAAACATGTTAACGACTGTGTCGTTTTTATATAAGATTTTTCTTTCTTAGATATTTGTGCAGTTTTTTTCGAGCAGGGTATTTATTATGTTGAAGTATCCTTGTTTTAATTGCTGATCTTATTTATTCCAAATTGAATCAAAAATGATCTCGCATGACGAAGCAGTCATCGTTATTTCAGTCTAATGCCCCATACCTAACGTCATTCAGCTTAGAAATATTCGGAAAAGGTTTCTAGAATTCGAAGATGTAACTAAATTAGAACTATTATGTTTCTAGAGCTCCGAAGCTGTTACAGAGCAGTTCCAGGCCAAATAGCGAAAAAATAATCAAATTTCAGATTTTACCCATCAGAATTCAATTAAACTTTGTATAACTGGTCACTAGAACCAGGTTAAAACCAGAAATCGGGAGTTTTTACTAAAGCCAAATTGTTCAAATAAATCATAACACAAATCAGGCTCATCTATTCAAAATGACACAGGTTGATAGGTACATGGAGCTCAAAAACAAACCGGCAGTACGTATCTCTGTAGGGACGAATCTCATCTGAACGGTGACTAAATTTTGCCGACTGCAGAAGAAATATTGAAGTCTGTTTACAACGGTAGTCGAGTAGACATCCGGATTCGATTCTTTCTTCCAAACTGCCCTTGAAAATAATGCTTTTCGTTGCAGTTAATTTCTTACAAGTGGAGATGTTCTTGACACAGGTGCGCAAAAGGTACAACAAAGCCATAACCGAAATGGGAACATGCATCGTGGGATGATAAAATTTATGTTTGGAACGAAGGATAGGGCAGGATATTCTATGAGAGTCGAGCTACATTTACAAGTTTATTATGTAGAATAACTGATAAACGTACATCAGCCTGACGTACTTCGGCTTAATGCCCTATAACCGAATAATCAAAAAGACAAAACGATTATCAAAGGGGGTTTCGGCCTGGTTCGAATATCCGTTTTGCTGAGAATCTTCCGGTATAGAATTTTTCTCGTTTTCCCCTGAGTGTTTCAGTTATTATTGCTTGTCATTCAGGCCTATTCTGCGAATCGTGTGACTCTCTATTCCTAGTGAGGTGACTCTCCATTTGATTTGCATGGAGTTTCACCTCACTAGTTCAAATTTTTCATCGCAAGAGGCCCCGGTGCGATGGGTGGCCTTCCGATCTGAATTTAGAAAATTTGGCTTGCTGCAGAGTGAATTTTGGTGCGCTCAGCTTGACGATCGTAAGCAATTTTCCTTTTAGCAAAAGCCTCACAAGATCCTATGGGTGTGCAGATGAGCCAACTACAGTGTGTAACACAGATTTTCAGATTTCAATCACCTGAAAGGAATCAGTAATTCTAATAGACATCGAGTCAGAATCTTGTGGATCGGTCGATTTTGCTTGAACACCATATGGGTATGATAACTTCCGCTTTCTCTTTCACCTCCCGCTCCGAATATGAAAATTTAAACGCAATCACAAATGGCAATATAGCTTCAGGGTTGCCAAACTCGTGGGATATTTACACATTGATTGGCACACTTCGACCTACTGCGGCACGTTCAACATTGCGCATGGCACAGCTAAAACACTTGGCACACATTAAGGTGTACAGAGTTGAATACCCCTTGGTTCTTTCTCAATTTGCATTTTTTTTTTCTAAAAAGACAACTCAGTTTTCTCCCACATTATCTCAGACGTCATTTCGATTATTATGCGAGGTATGATGTATTAAAAAAAATCGAATACGCCTTTTTTACAAATACAGCGTGAGTCAAAATGGCCGAATGCCGGCACAAACTTGGTCATAGCCCCTAGTGAACAGTTATGCGAAGTTTCATGCAATTCGGAAAGGGAAATATATAATCGATTCGTCAGTTGAAGTGGAACTACTTTACATTCTTCAGTGTTATAATCGTTATTCATAACACATTACAACTCCCCAGTCTGAACATGGCACTAACAGTATCTTCAAG